GAGTTTCTTTGTTGGCTCCTGGAGTGGGCATGCCTAGGCCAGGACAGGATCTGTGGTTGGCTAGTTTCTGTTGCCAGCAGACGTGGTTCTGCTAAGATACTGCAAACGTGATTACTGGCTGTCAGGTTCTGTTATGTGGAAAGTCAGCTTGCATAGCAGATGGCTCTGCTGACTGACTACCAGAAGTTTCCTTTAAATAAGGCTTATCAGCCCTAGTAACACTTGCTAAATAATAATCTCATGGAGGGTGTTTTATTTATAGGAAGCTCAAAATGACCCAGGACAGAGGAGTCATAGGAGGGTGGCCAGAGGATTTGTAAACTTGGAACTAAGGGAATGAAGCCAGCTGCTGAGGATGAGGAGTGGGGTTTATGTAGGGCGGCCCCCTTTCTGGACACTCCTCTGCAGTCTTTCTCTCATGGGCGGTAGAAATCCCTGCACCATCTTGCTTGACTGCAGATTTTGGTTTTGATGTAGCAAACCACTGTTTGGTTTTGATGTAGCAGTGATATCAACTGCACACTTTTCTTTTTTAAATGCCAACATGGTGATAGCCTCCATGGTGCGGAAAAACTCAAGAAGGGGCAGTCTAGTGGGATCAATTTTAAAACCCACAGGAAGATAAAGCACAGTGCCCTCAAACATGTATATTATCATTTTTTTGTTCCCCTTTTTTTAAAAAGGCAGGTTGGCTTTGTAGAAGAGGATTTGGATTTTGGAGTGACAGGTTCTGGGGCATGTGTCCTCTTTACATCGGGAGAGCCCATGTCTCGGGGCAGTGGGGAGAGGCAGTTCCCTGGGACCTGGTTTTTCAACACCCATAGTGAAACCTGACATAGAATCATGATGATGGGTGTGAAAAATAAGTGTCTCCTTCTGAGGTGGAAAGTGCTGAAAGATCGCAGACACTCTGACTGCCGCTGAAACAGGTTCCCTGGAAGATTCAGTGTCATCTAAGGTGGATCAAATGGATTCTTCTACTCTGCAGCCCTGTATCCTTGTGTGGCACAGTGCAAAACCTGGGGTGGATTCTAGACAAACATATAGTAATTGGGAGACAAGAACAGTCCATTCATTTGAGCTCTGAAGGAATGCTTTTTTTTAAATACTCTGGGCTTTATGAATGCATTAGATAACGAACAATAAAAACTTTTTTTAGAAAAACATTATTATTATTATTATTTTGGTAGAGACAGGATATTTTTGCTGTGTTGCCCAGGCTGCTCTTGAACTCCTGGGCTGAAGCCACCCACCCTTGCCCCAAAGTGCTGGGCTTACAGGTTAAGTATGAGCCACCACACCCATCTAAAATTCACATATCTTAATTATGGATCAACTGGTTTCATATTAAAGTTTATCTCAGTATTTGAACATTGCCTTGGTCACCAATAATGAGACTGGACCCTGGCTAAGTTAGGAGCCCTGGATTCTGGTCCCTACCTTTCCCCCCTAAGCAAAGATCGCTGTCTTTTTGTCTCTCCACATTGCTGAATTGCAGTTTTCTCAGCTTACAGATCTGAATGTTTTTCAGACTATAAAGCTGCAGCTATGAAATGTTAGACTTTTGCCAAAATTTAGTGGTGTTCCGTCATTAGACGGATTGCTGGGTGCTGCAGCCATCTCTGGGATTGTCACCAAGCTTTTATCTCCCTTGCTGTTTCTTTATGGCAAAATCACTTAGCCTGAGCGTTTTTCAAAAGTTTGTGAATTCTTTGAGGACAGAGACCCTACTTTTGTCAACGTGTAGCATTGCAGTAGGTACTCGATATATTTTTGACAAATAAATGAGCTCATCAGAAAATGATTAAATCAGCAAAAATTTATTAAGAATGCTACCAGCTGGAGATCTCCTTTACATTTGTTTAGTGTTGAGTTCACTAATAGTCACATTTTGTTGTGCTCTTAGTTGTCAACAAAGCAGGATGCTGATGCTTACTAAGACAAAAGAAGTGATGCTGTATTGCAGGAAAGGGCACAGGCTCTCACTGATGAATTGTGTAGCCTTGGGGGAAGCAGCCACCCTCTCTGAGCCTCTGCATGCCCCTAACTGAATGACCTCTAGAAATGTTATTTTGGTAGACAATTCCTACCTGACTTCCAGTCTAGAAGCTGGTACTTCTTGGGTTTTATTCATTGAAATTCAAAAGATACAAGATGGTTCTGTTCTGGGGACCCCTCGTTTCAATGAGGATGTATCAGAGGTTCCACTTTATGGGCCCTTAAGTTTGTGGAACAGGTGGACTGAACTTGTGGCACTGTGGTGGTGGAAATTATGTTGTGAAGGGAGAGGCCAAAGAGGATGGTCATGTGTGTATTTAAGCACCTTTTCAAAAAAAAAAAAAAAAATGAATCACCTAGCAGTCTTTCTGATTTATTTCATTAAATCTGAATATTTAATTTTACTTTGACGTGAAATTCAGATTTTCTAGGCTGCAGATTCCTTCAGAAGAGGCCTTACCTGATACTTTTTTATGCCACTTTGAGTGCTGTAAACACACTAGGTACCCCATAGTAAGATTAAAGTAGGGGTAATGGCACTTGGCTGTCATTGTCAGTGAATTCCAAAGTAATGCTTTCTCCCCAGCCAGGCCACCAGCACTTGCCTAGACACAGCCTCTAGCAACCTTGGGCATTTCTAGGCCTAGAGAAGAAGTTTGTGTAAATGTATGGCTTGATTAGTGGACACTTTATTTGTTATCTTTTCCTTTTGAAACTTATAATCAATTGAGCAGAGTCTGAAATAATACATCTATGTTCAGACAGCACGAGGAACCGATAAGTTGGTCAATTATGCATAAGTGTTGTGCTTCATCAGATAATATCCAGGGTCAGCCTCTATCAGGACCAAGAGGTGGCAAATGGGGGAATTGATGGAAGAGAAATTCAGTCTTAAATATTAATGGTGAATATTTAGCACTTCACAGAATACCTGGCACACACTGTAGTATTTTAGCCATTTTGTCTTTGCAAGACTGCTCAGAGTTTAGGAACTGTTATCTTCACCTGTGTCTTACAGGTGAAGACACAGGAACATAGTAAGTGGACAAGCCTGGCTTGTACAGGCAAGTCTTTCTTCCTGCTCTTAACCGTTGTTTTCTCCTGTCTGTTGTCATATCAAGTGCCTACCTTAAGAAACCTGTCCCTACACACTGGAAAAATAGCCCTAAAACATTTTTTCAGGAGACAAACTGTGGCTCTTTGCTGGGAGGGCATTGGTGTGACCAGCATCCGCCCATCACACCCCTTCTTTGTTCTTGCCTTCCTGGAAATGCACTTGTTCCTATGTGAGATCGGGGTAATGGGTACCAAAAATACTTGGTTTTTTACACAAGTCATTTGTTTGAGTTGGGTCTTCGATGCTGCCTCAGATAAACCCGCAGCAAGTGAGAGCCACCCCCTGTTTTGTTTTTGCAGGCCCAGTCCTGGAGTGCGTGCAGGGGTTGCAGGCGGGGCGCCTAGTTAGGCTCCTCGGAGGCTCCGATCCGCGCAGCGCCGATCCATCCCGGCGCTTGAGCCTGCCTGCGGGCCGCGCTCGCCGCCGCCGCCGCCGCCGCGCGCCCGGGA